ACCCTGAAGCTCTTTTAAAGTCTTTTGGTCTTCTGTTCAAAACGCTGAACAATTAAATCATACACCCTCGGAAAGACGCAAGGCCCAGTATTTCTAAAATGACCTCCAGGACGACTGGCCAAACCCTTGCCCCTCACATGCAGGTAGTAAGCGACCAGCCTTCGATATAACAAAATGATTTTATTACTTACCATGACTTTGGTTATAAACATCTTTTCCAGTCAGACATTTAATAGCATTATTCTGTGTAGGTAATCCAACATATATAATCAATTTTTTGACCATTTTTAATCACCCGAGAGGATATTGTTTGGAAAAATACTGTTATTATTATTATTATTATTATTATTATTATAAAATGCCTCTATACTCTGTGCTTTTCTTCACATAAACCCGACTTGACAACAGCGATATGGTGGACATTTTTTAGGCTACGACGATCATTTTCTCTGACCAATCTTTTATTGAAACTTTCGTTTCTCGAAAGACCCGATAACTTTTTGGGTTCGAAAGCAAACTTTGAAATCAAAATCAGTTGAATAGTAGCAAAGTTCCTAGCTCACAAACCAGTGAAGTTGCTTCGTTGACTGATAAATTTATTGTATCATTTTCAAAATTATTGAAACTTTGATATTAAATTCAATCACATAAAACATAAAACATCTTTTCGGGCATTTCATAAGTAGGTTGAGTGTGATCGTCCGGGTGAACGTAGTCCTGAATGGGACTGTTGTTAACAGTGACTGATATTGGCGAACTCAGGCAAAACTAACCACAAGAGAATGACTGAACAACCGACAATTTGACTAACAATAAACGATTGTTTAACTGTGACATTAGACGGATCGAAACGCAGCAATGACGTTACGAGTCTTCATAGCCAATAGCATCAAGGCTTAACTGACAGACGACCAATAACATCATGACTTCGATGACCAATCAGGTCAATACCAGAGTTTAATATTATCAACTGACGTAATACAAATCACTTTGGCTCTGAAGATGAATACCACACAGGTTTTCGAAACGTCAGTCACCGTCAAGAACACTCCTTCTCAGTACATACTCAACCTACCTATCAGTCTTAGATATCAAGAATCCATTACCGAAAATAACGGGGAATCATAATACCTTCCAGGGTGGGAGAAATTTCTGGATTGGGACCACCCGGCGCGCTTAAGTTTATTCAGACCCGAATGCCATTGTTAGTTTCCAAAACAGTTCCCATCTCATGAACAATCCCTAACATATTTTATATGTCAGATTACAGGGGATTAACGTTTTTGCTTTTAGCCTAATGATTACTTCAACCTCCAAAGCTGCAACTAGAAACTGTCTTATTTTTCTTAATTATTCTATGAACATATACCAAACAACGAGTCTTCAATTCGCAACCACCATTTGAACTTTCATGAGCGCGTGCGTAAAGAGTAACGGCAAAACTGCCAAATAAGGTCACAAAGACAAACTCCTTCAAAAGTGTCATTTTCAATTTTTCTTGCAATAGTCTGTTGAGAAAAAAAAATGTTTTGGAATTAATATTGAAAACTTGGTGACAGCGCTCAGCTCTACAAGGCTAAGTAGGAAGACGTCAATAAAATTACCTCGGTAAAATAGTAAAAACAGTGCTGATAGAGTTGTCATACCCTTCACTCCTTTTTTTAAACAATTATAACATTGTTTGCTTTTATTGTTATTAATTTTCTACTTTAGGTCAGGTTTCTTGCTCAAGAAAATCTCGGTAAACTAACTAAATTAATAACGTTTTTAAACAGCTTGACCCTTTTCAATGGTTTTTCTCATATCTTAAACTAAATATTAGTTTAAGCACAATAAATTTTGCACATCAATGATTAAAAGAGCCAAAAAATGGTAGCAACGGGTTATTGAACGAGTAACAATTTTAACAGGGAAACCAAAAAAAAAAATATGCCAAAGAAAATTTTTGTCTTTTTGGCCATATAGTAACCCGGTAGTAAACGGCGTGCAAGACTAAATTAAAACTGTGTCCCGCGCTGGCTTCCTTTTTTTAATGCGGGAAATCTATCTTTTTTGTCTTAAGAGAGGTCAGTGACCTATACTTGACTCAAGAATTGGATTTTTAAACAGAGCGATACTAAATTTAAAAGACGTCAATGTGTTTCATTGGACGGGCAAAATAAGTTTAGCGTTGTTACACGTACTATCCATTTTTTAACCCGATATATATTTTTTTCTGTCGCCTGGATGCAGAATATTGAATGCTTAAACGGAAATTTCAGTCCTACCATTTACGAACACTGTTTTGTATTCGGCTTTTCTTATTTTTCTCTTAATGTCAGAAAGTTATTTCTATTTTTTTTTTTCTGAAGAGGGTGTCGGTAAACCGTGACGTAACATCTCAGATCAATAGCATTCTCATGCCGAATATTAGGCTTTACCAACTGAAATGAAATTTGACACTCAAAGAACAGTAAAAAAACGTTTAGTTATTTTAATGCGAAATGGTTTAAGCAGGGAAACCTAAAAATGACTACATTCGTCTACTTGCTTTATGACAAAATCAGTGATATTTAGCGAAGAAAGTCATCGGGAAACAGCAGGAATCAAAAACTTTGATTTTAAGTTAGCTTCAGCCTTGTCATCATTTTGTTCTTATTCTTTTAACTCCTTGTATTTTCTTTACGTTTATTCACTGAAAGAGCAAAAACAAAATGAAAAATGAAGAACGAGTTATCGAACGAGAAACAGATTAACAATTGCTTTCAACAAAATCGAACGTTTTCAACTGGGCAATCAGTTTAATCCAGTTTAATCAGAGATATCTGTTTATTTCCTTGAGCGAGTTAACCGGACTTGGATTCAGTCTTATAACGCAAAGAAGCCTAGTGACCTACTTGACCCAAACACTTTAACGATACTAAATAACTCGTATAATTTTGAAAATTCATTGCATCCGCAAAATCAGTTTGCCGTTTTTACAAGTATTTTCTGGTTCAAATTATCCACAAGTATAATTATTACCTAAGACCTGGATGCAGCAGTCTCTTTGAAAAGTAAATGAGTATTTGAAGTGAATATTTAATCCTACCTTGAAGAATCCACGGTTTTGTATTGGGTTTGTCTCTCTCAATCTAAAAACTTGTCTCAGCTGTGCTCAAGATGGTGTCAGAACTATCTAAACATTTCGAATTTATAACATTTTTAGCCAGCTTCAGGCTTTTAATTTTTTTTCTAATATTTCAAACTAGTAAATATTAGCTTTAGAAAAATAAAGATTGTTCACGCAAAGAGAAATAAAAATCATTAAACAACGAGTTTTTGAATGAGAGACAAAAAATTCACCTTTCACTGAGGAAGATCTCGAAGCATCTGGAATAAAATATATTCAAGCAAGCTCTAGCCTTTTCTGTATTTTTCTTAATATCTTGAATAGAATAAAACTATCTAATTAATAAACTAATAAAGTTAAACCGAACTTGACGCAAAAAGGCCCCCTGACTGACCTATTGACCCAAATTTATAGGCCCTAATTATACCGATGCTAAATAACTCCGCTGGACGAAAGAATAGGATTTGCCGGCAAATTTTCTCGTTACAAATATGTCGCAAAAATGTAAAAACTGAGGAGTAAATATGGGGCAAAGATGGTAAAAACCACGTTTGCATACCAAAAAACAGGAGGTGTAAATAACCAGGCAAATGTAGCATTTACCATCTTTGCTCCAAATTTTCTTCTCAGTTTTCTCAATTTTACGACATATTTGCCGGGAGCAAATTTATGCAAATCCATTTTTTTGAATACATTTTAAAATTTTTTGTTAGCCAAGCAAAATCAGTTTGACATTTTCATTAGTAATAACCAGTTCATATAACCCGAATTATTGATGCAACAGTATGTTGTAAAAGAAAATTTAACCCTACAAAGACTGAAATTTCAATCCAACCAGTCATGATAAGGATCCATGGTTTGGCATTTGATTTCGTTGACCAATCGCTCTCTCAGTTTTAGAAATCTATTTCAGTTTTAGCTGAAGAAGATCTCTATAAACTATCGAACTTCTAAAATAAATAACATTGTAGCTTATTTTAACGTTTTCATTTTTTCGCAATATCTTTAGCTAAATATTAGCTTTAATAAAATAAAGTTTGCTCACCCCGAAAAAGTCACAGAATTAATCGAATTGTTGAATATTTTTAGCAGGGAAACTTAGATAGTGAAAATAAAGAAATTGACAGACCATGTGACCTCTTGAAGAGGAGTGGAGAAGTGGAAGGTAGACGAAGGCGCATGCCTTGATATTTTTTTTCGTTGAGATTGCCGATCTGAGGAATCCCGATCAGGTGAATCTGCACAGGGTAAATCCCGTCTAGTCTGACTGATAAGCTATGCAAGGTGATATAAAGCCCAGTCGCCTGTATAACAAACAAAGATTTGCGAAATGTGTACGGAGGAAAAATAACAGACTTTTTGAAGGCTTCAATAACTACAGATAGCATAAAGATCTTTTCTATTACATTTTTACTGTATAGTTACTGTTTATTGCACATGGAAAATAGCGAAATACGCTTTCAGAATTGTGCTTTACGCTGCAATGTTGTATGCTACTGAAAGACAGTGTCTTTGTACTGTAAATTAATAACTTTAGATGCAGTTTAAAGACAAGTGTGAGCCTGGTTTTAGCTACTGATCACGAACACTTAAAACTGTATGTGGATTCATAAAAGTGACGTCATCATAGTGACCTCTTTTATACGGACACCCCCACTCTAATACGGACACTTCTCTCTGTCCCTTCGGTGTCCGTATTAGAGATGTTCGACTGTACTAGGTTGCCGGTAGCCGTGTGGTAAGAGAACTAGTGACGGAATTCAGGGTTCGGAACGGAAAGGCAATAAAAGAAAAATGTTTACAGGGGCCATTTATTGGGGGTTTAACCATCTCAAAGTTTTTGCTGATATGCTAAAGAAATTCATCTTTCTTTACTACCTTGATGCAATGAAACATCAGCACGTGCAAACTACTTTCGGCAACAGCAGAAGCTAAAGTAAATAGAAGAGCTCATGATGGCTTTATTAACCTCAGATACTTCACTTCCTCCGTTTAAAGCACTGTTGCAGTTGTAGTTGTAAAAGGAGCCCACAATTTCTCCGTTTTGGGTAGCTTTGCGTTCCCTTCCATAGACAGAAACTTCTCCATCGCAGTTGGGATAAGAGCTCTGGGAACAAATCTGGCTACAGGTCTTCTTGTCAGCGGTGTTCCTAGCCATAACCTGGTTTTGGCAGCAACCACTTCCTCCTGTAGGGGTGCTTCCTCTGCAGGCCGCAGCTGCCGCCATGTGAACTGACTGCCACGCCAAATCGAATGCCGAGTACTGATCATAGCCTGCCGTGAGAACGCTCTGAGGAAGGCGGCCGTTTTGGTCGAGCTTGGCGAAACCACCAGGCTTACCTGCGCTCGACAGCTGAGCTTTTAAGATGGCAATCTGGAAAAATAGGATGACATATGGATGTGGTCTTAACTTAGGTAGGGAACTAGTCTCCAAAAATAATAAGACAAATACTGTTTTTTTTTTCCATCTTTTTTGACCTGAAATTTACTCGTGCTATAGAGTGAAGGAATCGTAAGGTTTGAAACTGACAACGAACGTGTCTGACTATTAGGAAAACCGTAATTGTTTTCAGTTCCAATGCTAATTTTGCCACTGCCTTCTTCGCTATTGGCACAGTTTATGTTTCTCAATGCCACTTCCTTCAACTGATTTTGTCTGGTCTTTAACGGCTGCCTCGTGGCTGCAACACAGAATTCATGGTCTGACCTCAATGCCCCCTTTATACCTTTTATATTATCTAAACTAACAGAAAAGTATTACATTCGACATTCATTGACACGCTCGATCTGAGCTTATAAGGGGTTAAGGAAGAATTTATTAACAAAATATTATCATTTAGAAATATGTAATTATCGATCGCAAGGGAGTCAATGTCCATATTGACAGTTTTTCATGTGAAAAAGATTAAAACACTTAAGTACTCCAGAGTCACCAAGTTTGTCAAAGATTGCAACGTTCTCTATGACCAGCAATACGGTTTTCGCAGTAAGCAAAGTACTCAGCATACTATACTTGATATTGTTAACACAATTCTCCAAAATATGGACAACGGTAAATTTTCGTGCGGTGTTTTCATCGATCTCAAGAAGGCTTTTGATACTGTTAACCATGAGATTTTGTTAGCTAAATTTGAAAATTATGGTATTAGAGGTGTAATCAACTCCTGGTTCAGATCATACCTGACTGATCGAAAGCAAACTACGGAAGTTAATAATGTTGTGTCTGAGGCTGAGACGACCTTGTGCGGCGTGCCACAAGGCTCAGTCCTCGGACCACTCTTATTCCTACTGTACATCAATGATATTTACAAGTCCTCTTCGTTATTTTCCTTTTATCTATTTGCTGACGACACTGGTATAGTACTTGCAAATAAAAACCTAAAGGAACTCGAAACACTTGTTAATCGCGAGCTTGGCAACGTCAACGAATGGCTAAAGGCCAACAAACTGTCTTTGAACATAAAAAAATCAAAATTTATAATCTTTCGTCCCCGGCAAAAGAATATGCCCTTCATACCTAGGATTAGAATTCTTGACTCCGTGACTAACACCCACGCAAACCTTGCAATGAAAGATTATGTAAAATATCTTGGCTTAATGATTGATTCAAATCTTTCATGGAAATACCACATCGAATCTATCTGTCACAAAATCAGCAAGTCGATAGGAATTATAGCTAAGATTCGACATTATGTCCCGCGTCGTGTTTTACTTTTAGTTTACAATTCATTAATTGTCCCTTACATGACTTATAGTATTTGTGGTTGGGGAAACTGGGCCTTGACATTTCAAAGAAAGATCGTAACTCTTCAAAAACGGGCCTTACGTCTCATTTACTTCAGTAAGTCTAAGGAACACACCGTACCCTGCTTTCTCAAATCAAATTGCCTTCCCCTGCCTAGCCTGTTTTTCAGAGATTGTAGCTATTTATTGTATTATATCAACAAACAGACTGCAGCAGTTAGTATACTCAATGAGTTCGTTCAAACAAGTAGTCAGATTCATAGCTACAGAACAAGATCTGTCTCTAGCGACTCGTTTTACGTTAAGTTCTCTAGAACCGATAAAATGTATGCCTTTTTCACGAGAATCGGTGCCCAAATTTGGAACTCTATTCCTTATTCGATTAAAATACTTAAACGTTCGTCCTTTCGTAAGAAAATAAAGGAATTATTACTAAATTTCTTGCTGTCAGAAGATGATTATGTCGAAGTCTCCCGTCTTATTAAGTTATTTAATACTTCAGGTTAGCCTCTCTTCGTAATCGTTATGTACTTGCCTTGTTTAATGTTAGTTTACATCAGTTCTATTTACTGTATATTAGTGTCTTCACTGTTATTTAGTCCATCTATACATAAATCTTGTTTATAATATGTTCTCAGCTTCCCCCACCTCGATTAGTTTATAAGCTATTTGAGGGTGGGAAAGTAATGTAATTAGTTATTTTCCAATTTTCAATAAAATTTGTTGTTGTTGTTAAGAAAGATCAACAGCCCTTACTTCTTGCTCCAGCTGTCGTAATCGTCCTTCATAGGCTGCTAAAAAGTAAAAATAATAAGGACAGAAAAGTTTTTAATGAGCTTAGCTTCTATTCTGTGGCGTATATTACACACTTAATGTCAGATCCCGAGGGAAACAGTCCTGATGGACAACAATGTGCATTTCATTGGACAGGTTTATATTAAAACTTAGAGTCGCAAGTTCGTCTTCAAGACTAATTTGCGTGCGCTCGATTTCATTATCGTGGCGTATGTAGAAAAACGTGCTACCCTCCCTCAGAATTACTCTTGAAAACTAATGTACTAAATAAACGAACTATCTACAAAAGGCATAATTGCTAACCTTGGCTTTGGTTATAGACACCTTTTCCAGAGAGGCAAGTAATAGCATCATTCTGTAAAGGCGGTAAAGGACATATCGTCAAGTTGTGAAACCACGGTCGATTTTCCCTTATTCCAATTGAGACGTCTTTTCTTACAGTACTGACATAGCATTGTCACCGTTTACCAAAAGCAGACCACTATAAGTGGCCATGGATTTCCGCAAATAAAAGTACTTCTGTTGGAGTTGCGCTTAAAAGAAACTCTCGCGGGGCACTACTACCTTTTTAACTGCTGGAAAACGCTTCTCTTTCATAGGCAATCCTTGACAAAATTCATATTTTAGTGAGTGCCAAGAATTATTTTTATTTGTAATTATTTTTTCACCTTTTGATTACTCTGACCTCGAAAATTGCATCATACCACTATCTTATTTTAGTCACTTTATTTCACGAACACATACCAAACAACGAGTCCTCAAGTCACATCCACCATTTGTGCGTTGGTCTGCGCTTTCATCTGCGCACGTACAGAATGGGACCGTTAAACTGCCAAATAAGGCCGCCATGACGAGCTCCTTGAACAGCGTCATTTTTCACTCAATTCTCTGGTGCAATGACCTGTTGAGAAAAAAAAAAAATGGCTTGAAAACAATTTCAGTTCAGTTTTCGCGCCGAGTTATTCAATAGGAGCAGTGGAACTTAAACTACACTTGCATTCAACAAAATTAGGAGTTTTCAGATGAAAAATTAGCCAAACCCATCAAGGTCATAAGTTAGCGGAAACATCAGTTTAAAGTGACGTTGTTGTAGTCATAGTTAATTGAAGTGAAATGGTTGGGAAACCGTTTGTTATAGGTTTTTGTTAGCTTTTTTGGACCTGGCCGTACACAACGTTCAGTTGCATTCCTATCATTTTGAAGTTACTGACCAATAGAAACACTGCATTAATTAATTCAGTAATAATTTGTGAACAGAAAACGAAAGATTGTGCACGGTCAGGGAGACTCCAACATAAACTACAGCAATTTTACTAACCGGGAATGTGATAAAACAATAATTGTCGCTACAAGGGGGTGGGGGAAATTTGGGACTGAAATTACAAAAATTGAAAAATTCGAATTAAGGTGTTTTCCACTTTTGCACCTGTTTTGCTGTTAGGCTTTTTCTTTTTTACAAAAATCACATTTTATGTACATATGAGGACAAGAAGTATTAATTTCAATATTTTATCAACCTTATATTTAGCGTACCTGTGAGTACCTTGAGAGACAATTGTCAGTTGTGTTCCTTAAAGCGACTAACTTCAAATGATCGATCCGGACAATATTTCTGCAGAGGTTCGTATAGCAATAGCCTAGCAATAGCCTTATCTCATTATTCAAAAGCAAATTCACTACGTTAATGAATTTGCTTTTGACCTAAAGCTGTACAAATCGTAGGTCGAGAAAGACAATTTGCTTAATGATGTTTTCTCATCTCAGTATTTAGCATTTAGATCCCATTAGAGCAATGCAATGTTCAGGTTTCAAAATTTCAAGTAAAAGATAAAATTTCTATTCCGTCTAAAACAAATTGCAATGTCGTATTGCTGGTGCAAAGATATGCGCTGTTTGTATAATAATGACACAGTTGCCTTTTAGCGGTGCTTACCTTGATGACGTCATGCTCGGAATAAGTATCACGTAGTTAAACTGATATTTAACTGAAGCTACGTACTTCCGCTGACAGCTGAACAAACTGTATGCAGAGAAAATCTTCTTTCGAATGCTGTTGATATATATTTTTTCACCCAACGTTAGCGTAAAAACTAAAGACGATTTTTTTCTTTTTGTTTGAGAATGCTGGAGTATGATTCAGAGTAGAGATAACCTCGCAAGTGAGGTCTTTTTCATTCCGTTACAGAATTCCTTGTGAACGCAAGTCTCTCGCCACCTTAATTTGTCTAATATTTCACTAAACTATTTATTTACCATGCCTTCTCACTTGGTTTAAAAATGCACATCACTAAATCGCCAAATAGAGGAGGCTATGTCTGCACAAGTCCTGACAAGTCCGTTTAAGCTTGTGGAAGAGGAAACAAACTTTATATGAGTTGATGGTTGTGCCCAGAAAAGAGACGTTTTTCCGGTTACGTACATTGTAACGTTGTATATTTTAGTTTAGATTGGTTATGATTTAGTTAAACACTAAATCTATGAATTATTTGTGATCCAGGTTTAATTTAACACTATTCCTTCCATTCTCAATTTTCGCACGAAAAAGATCCCACCTGGTAACCTTATCATTCAAAATTGGCAAGAAAGATTAATTGGAAGGCTAGCAGGTGGAAGCAGGAAAGAACAAGGCGCGCGAGAGAGACTTTCGAGGGGAGAGGCAGTGCCTACCTGAGAGTCAGAGACCCATAAAAATCGTTTCCCGACTCGCTATCCAATTACCTGCGGCCGCTGCGTGATCTGTCAAAAAGTTTGACAGAAAACGATTGACATCACACAAACAAAGCGTGCCAAAGCGTTGTCCATTTACATCCTCTGTCTATTTGTTATAAAGACCCGCTAGGTTATCTGCTTATAGAGCTATGCCTTATTAACCCCTATCTTTGTTATGGCGTCTGTGCTTGGGGCTCCGCACCTAAAATTTATTGAAATAAGATACTCTTAATTCAAAAATGAGCCCTACGCATGATTTACTTTACGGATTATAAGCAACATGCTGTATAGTCTGCTACACAGGCGTTTTTAGGGTCGTCACGCAATGCTCCTCCCCACTAAGGAGGAGGAGCGTTGCGTGACGACACTAAAAACGGCTGTGTAGCAGACTACATGCTGTACCACTTTTCTTAAATTCGAAAGTCTTTGCTCTATCTTTTATTTACTTTGATTGTCTTTGTTAGTATCATGTGGGACGTTGCTAACAATTCTACACCTGAAAATATCAAGCGAGCCTTTACTAGGATTTCTGAGGTGCACTCATATCCTACCTGATCTTCTCTCAATGATGATTTCAGTATACCGAACACTGAAGGCTTGAAAAAATGCATAGTTCTTTTCTAAGAGTTGGACCAAAACTCTGGAATTCTTTTCCCTCAGATATGAGAAACTCACCGAAATCTACCTTTCGGAAAAAATATAAGGAATAAGCTCTTTGAAATTTTATCTAAGTCTGATGACTATCTTGAAATCACTGAAATCATGCATCAACTTAAATTTAACAAGCTAAGGAACACGACTAAACTTACATTCTCTGTGTAAATCATATTGTAATTAAATTAGCTTGATACGTATGTGTAATCAAATGGTGACGAGTGAAATTAGGGAATAATTTCACTTGCGTTTTGTCCAAATCCTAATAATTTCCCAAGCCTTCAGGCGAGGGAAATTATTAGGATTTAGACAAAACGCAAGTGAAATTATTCCCTAATTTCACGAGTATACCATTCGATCTCCTATTAATATCATGGGTGACGAATTACGTTAGCAATCTTGGATTTTTGACATGTTTATCCTGGATCGTATCGATCGAGAACTCCACTCTCTCAAATGTTTAGACCTTTTAAGGTCTAAAAATTTGGCTTATAAAGTTCAGAATTTTTCAGACTTTTTCTGCAAAATACCTGTTAGAATCCTTCTTGATGTTCTCTTGTGTGTTCAGGTTTTCTAAAGCGTCTTTTTGTGCCCTGACATCTTCATTCAGGGCATTTTAAAACTTCGTCGCCATCTTGACACTGAGACGTACGGAAGAGTTGCCATTGCAAGTTTGTAATTTCACATGTGAAATTACAAATTAACGCTGAAATTTCTCGCCAAAATTAAGGAGTAATTCGTCACCTATGATATTAACACTATAATCGTTATTTTACGACAGCTGGTACTGTTTGTAAAATATTTCTTTTTTCTTTTCCTTTCTTTAAATTTGTGTGTCTCTTCCCCCGCCTCGATCAGGCTCTCCTATACGCGGGTGGAAGCTATCGTGAAATTGTAAATTGAGATTGAATGAATAAAGTTGAAGACGAAAAAAAATCGATATTGGTTAAAGAATGCATGCTGTGTGTAACATAAATATTGTTCTCATAGATTACAAAATGACAACTGTACAGGCACCAAAGATCACACCTTACGTGGAAAATGACCATTGCTATTTCGGCGCAATGTGGGAGCCGTTTTTGGAGCAGACATATCTTAGGGCCTGTTTACATGGAGGTTGGGGGACCTCAGGTAGATGAGGTAACCCGCTTTGGTGGGGTAATATAACTCGCCTGTCCATACAATCTCTCATTTTAATTTGACCACGTTTACATTATAGGTGGGGTGACCCGCTGCATGTTATCTCACCTATATGGGGTCCCTCACCTCCATGTAAACAGGCCCTTACTTAACGGACGCTGCAGTAACATTAGACGTCAGGTCGCCTTCGAGCAATTAATGATAACAACAGCGAAAGGTTTTTCAAATTCATCCCCCTGGTAGGTGTTTCATTTCATCAATCTTGTCCATGTCTTGATGGTCTACGTCCCATTCACAATGCAAGCCGCTTAGTTCTTTTTGAACAAAGAATATTTCCTCCAATCTTCATTTCAACGATTCGGCAATCTTTTGTCGTCGCTTCTGGTAATGCGTATTTGATGTCAAATCGTTCCTTTGTAAGTAACGTTTGAACACTCCCACTTTTCTTTTAGATTACAGCCACACACACACACACACATGAGACCTTCACTGCTTTGTATGTCCATGCACTACATGTTTACAAACGATCTCGTGTTTTCTTTGATCGACTGACAGTTTTCTCGCCTATTAAACGTAAACATTTATCCTCTCGGAAGTCTCTTAACCAATGGGAATTTTCCGCACTCTCAGAAAGCGAGTAAAAGCGATTTTCATGGGCCTCTCGGGCATCGTTCCCTCTCACCTCGCGAGTCTCACTCGCATGCCTCGTTCTTTCTTGGGCCTTTACTTCCAAGCGCCTGCCACGCGAACTAAGTATTTTAAAAGTAAACATTCTACCTTTCAAAAGCATTTACTCTTTCTAAACTACTGCTAAGTCTGTCAGAGCTTCTGTCCTATTCAGCTCCAGTAATGTGTTTTTCTGTAAAGGTGGCCCGAACCTATTCTTATGCGTGTTGGTTAGGTTTTTAATCGCGTTTTCAGCTAGAACGACTTAACCGATTTCTATGATCTTTGATCCTTGATAAAGAATGGTGGAACTCTTAGAATATGTTATTCATTTTCCTGTAGGTATTAAAAAATGTGTGAGATACCGGCATTTATTTAAACCGCGTTTTTATAAAAAATGAAAGTATCTTCGAAATCCTACGACAGATTTTTCCTTAACTTTAGCAAATAAGCCGCACAGCTCTCAAGTTTTGTATCTGCAAGTTTGAAATCAATAGTGAACATGCAACTCGATGCAAAAAATTCTGGTCAAATTTATTCATAAAATGCTAGACGCTAACACTGATTTGTGAAAGTTGACGTACAAATTTTAAAAGTTGCAGTCAGTACCGACGGAAAAGCTCCATTGCAAGAAGTTAGTAACCAGGAACCTACAGCGAATACAGTAAGTACTTGAAGAAGAAAAACTTTATGTTGAATGCGAGGTGAGATTGAAGAACTTCTATTCATCAAACCTTCTTTGCGTAGTGCGTTTCGTTTTCAGAATTATTAAATCGTAACAAAGCAAAATATAGCATACACAAAAAACTCTCAAGAGCTTTTAGCGTCGCAGGTCCCAGTTGAGGGGAAATAAAGCCTTTAGCTCTAGTACTTGTAATCATCCATTTTCCAGCTGCATTGACAAACCCTTGTACTTTGTAATTTATTCAAGCTTTTTAAACTTGCCATCACATTCGCGCGGGAAGTTTGTCACTTGGAGAAAACAATGAAGGAAAATATGACAATCGTCTTAATCTTCTAACTATCCCTAATGGCAAACTCTCCATGCGAATGTGATGGCAAACCTAAAAAGCTTGAATAAATCACCAAGTAAACGAGTTTTTATTGCAGATGAAAAATGGCTGGTAAGAAGTACTGGAGTTGGTGGCTTTATTTCTTCTCAAAACGGGAACGTTTGGTGCTAAAAACTGGTAGGTCGACGTCCGTAAATGCTACATTTTGCTTTGTTAAGATTTGTTTTCAAAAGAAAGGTGACAAATACAAAGTAAGTTGGTTGAATAGAAGTTCTTTAATATCAACCCGCATTCAGCATAAAGTAATTTTTCTCTTTGTGTTTATTGTATTCGCCGTAGGCTTCTGATTACTTAGTTTCATGGAAAAAAGTTTTGGGTAACAGTACCCTTTCAGATAGGAGATAGTCCGTCTCGCTCTTCAACTATTTGTGGGTCAGATCTTTAAGCTTAACATTCTAAGGTTAAACTTGACTAGCATCTTGTACAGTGAGCTTTATGGTCACGATCTTGAGGCTTATTTGCTGAAGAAAAGGAAAAATCTGTCGTGGGATTTCTGAGATATTTACATTTTTTATAAAAATGCGGTTTTGAATGAATGCCGATATCTCACACGTTTTTTAACTTACAGAAAAATATACAAAAATTTTCATAAAGTTCCACAATTTTTATTAAGGATGCCAAAAATCATAGAAATGGATTAAATTGTTTAACCGACTCATATAAATAGGTTCGAGCCACCCTAATCTTATCTAATCTTCCTTGATGCAAAAAACGGAGAGGTGCTGAGAAATCGAATTGTCCGATAAATGAGTGTAATCAATACTGAGTGTAGTAGACTGTGAGCGGGAAGCGATTGCTTCTAGAATAAACTCCTGAAAGTGATTGTTGCATGGCAAGAGGTAAACGTATAAAAATCTCAATTTTACAAAATAAATGGGAAAATTGATTAGCTTTTTGTCAAGTTGTTAATCAACAAGTGATCTAGGTACCAAAAGAAATATTTCTTTCAATTATTAGTTTCTTTGGCAAAATAGTCCCAGGGATAGCGGTTTTTTTATAGTTCTAGATGGAAAACTAGAATTTCCGGACCATAGAAATATCTGTATTAGGCTAGATTAGTTGACAAATTAGATTTTTGAAAGGGGTTTACCCTTTGATTTTGGTACAAATAGAAATACCTTTATAGCTAATTTATACAACAGGATAAATTAAAGTTAATGTGACAACCATAGACCCGCCTTTACCAGTAATCCAACCGGCTCACTTCCTTTCAGGGGTAATATAACTTCCTGCATGTGACCCCTGTCACACTAATGTTTCGCTCAACCAATTAGATGGCAGCGCCTAGCTCAGCAAAACAGCACTTCATATTTTTCTCTTCGTGGAACAAAATGCTTGTTACTTCTAGCCTGAATTTTTCTTCAAGAATTGGAATTTTGCTAAGCCGTATCGACTCGATCACCGTTTAGGAAGGGCTAACTTGATCTCCCAACTGCATACAAGCTTTACGCGTTCAAGTTTTCTGGACAGAACTTCCACAAAGAGATGTTGCACCGGTCTCCGTCAAACTTCGTCGAATTATTGTTTATCCCGGTAAAGAAATTTCAATCCAAACAATCATGATAAGGATCCACGGTTTTGTATTTGATTTCGTTGCCCAATCGCTCTCTCAAATTCAGAAATCTATTTCAGTTTTAGCTGAAGAAGATCTCTATAAACTATCGAAACATCTAAAATAAATAACATTTTAGCCAATTTTAACTTTTTCATTTTTTCGCAATATTTTAAACTAAATATTATGTTTAATAAAATAAAGTTTGCTTGCTCAAAAAAAACCACAGAATTTAATCGAATTGTTGAATAGGAAACTTACAATTTTAGCAGGGAAACTTATACAGTGAAAATAAGAAATTTACAGACCATGAGACCTCTTGAAGAGAAGGGGAGAAGTGGAAAGTTTGCAAGGCAGACGAAGGCGAATGCCTTGACATTTTTGAGATTTTGCCAATACCGATCTGAGGAATAATATCGACTTTTGGTTGTCTAAAATCAGTGGTACAAAAAACTGGACCTGTCGTAAATTACCGCAGTAAAAGCTGCCAACGCAAGTCATAAAAAAGCGGATAAAAATTCAATGCATCACAGAAATACAGTCATGCTACTTGACATGTGGAGAGGAGGAGAGATTGTACGGTAGGGACACCTCTCTAATAAGGACAGTTTCTAATGTCCCGACAAAACTCTCGTGAATTTTCTTTTTAAAAAACCTTTATTATACAGATATCTCTCTAATACGGACAAAGGACATTAAATCTCGGCCCCAGATAGTAAATTCATATAAACTTGACCTCTTTATTATGGACACTGCGGTGATCAGGTGAATCACGAATCCCGATCAGGTGAATCTGCACAGGGTGAATCCCGTCTAGTCTGGCTGATGAGCTATGCGAGGTGATATAAAGCCCAGTCGCTGTATAACAAACAACGATTTGCGAAAGGTGTACAGAGGAACATAACCGACTTTTTGAAGGCCTCAATAACTACGGATAGCATAAAGATCTTTTCTATTACATTTTGTACTCTAGTTATTGTTTACTGCACATGCAAAATAGCGAAGTACGCATTCAGAATTGTGTTTTGCGTCGCAATGTTGTATGCTACTGAAAGACAGTGTCTTTGTACTGTGAATTAATAACTTTAAATGCAGTTTAAAGACAAGTGTGAGCCCGGTTTTAGCTATTGATCACGAACACTTACAACTGTATGTGGATTCATAAACGTGACGTCATCATAGTGAACTCTTTTATACGGACACCCCCACTCTAATACGGACACTTCTCTCTGTCCCTTCGTTGTCCGTATTAGAGATGTTCGACTGTACTAGGTTGCCGGTAACCGTGTGGTAAGAGAGCTAATGACGGATTTCAAGGTTCGGAACAGAAACGCAATAAAAGACGAATAGAAAAACGTTTACAGTGGCCATTTATTGGGGGTTTAACCATCTCAAAGTTTTTGCTGATGTGCTAAAGAAATTCACCCCTCGTTACTACCTTGATACAATGAAACATCAGCACGTGCAAACTACTTTCGGCAACAGCAGAAGCTAAAGTAAACAGAAGAGCTCATGATGGCCTCATTAACCTGAGATGCCTCACTTCCTCCGTTTAAAGCACCGTTGCAGCGGTAGTTGTAAAAGGAGCCCACAATTTCTCCATTTTTGGTGGCTTTACGTTCCCTTCCATAGACAGAAACTTCTCCATCGCAGTTGGGATAAGAGCTCTGGGAACAAATCTGGCTACAGGTTTTCTTGTCAGCAGTGTTCCTAACCATAACGTGGTTTTGGCAGCAACCACTTCCTCCTGTAGGGGTGCTTCCTCTGCAGGCCGCAGCTGCCGCCATGTGAACTGACTGCCACGCCAAATCGAATGCCGAGTACTGATCATAGCCTGCCGTGAGGACGTTCTGAGGAAGGCGACCTTTTTGGTCTAGCTTGGCGAAACCACCTGGCTGGCCTGCCTTAGACAGCTGAGCTTTTAAAGTGGCAATCTGGAAAAATAGGATGACATATGGAAGTGGTCTAAAATAAAGTAGGGAACTATTCTCCTTGAATAATTCCTTGATTAATACGTCTTTATCATCAGCGTTTTGCCACTTTCTTCTTCACTTTTGGCACAGGTTTTGTTCCTTAATGCCACTTTCTTCAACTGATTTTATCTGGTCTTTCATGGTTGCTCCTTGGCTTAAACACTGAATTCATAGTCCCACCTCAATGCCCTCTTTAAAACTAAGAACCTTCTGTATTATCTTAAGGAACACTTCCAGAAAAGTAATTACATTTGACATTTATTGACACAGTCGATCTGAGCATATAAGGGGTTAGGAAAGGCTTTATTATCATCAGAAATATGTAATTATCGATTTGATGGGATTTGGGGTCCATGAAAAAGACTTAAACACTTTAAGTAAGATCAACGGCTCTTACTTCTTGCTCCAGCTGTCGAAATCGCCCCTCATAGGCTGCTAAAAAGTAAAAGTAATAAGGAAAGAAAAACGCTTTTTTAATGAGCTTAGCTTTTATTCTGTGGCGTATGAATTATTATAGGTTAAACGATATGCGGAATGCGGAGTTATCTGGGGAAAGTGTGTGTGTGGGCGAGGGGGGAATAATCCGTCTCTTTGCGCCTTTTTCCCCTCAACGTTATGTTCCTTTTATTCCTTTATTAAAATTTAGCCTGAGATAGAATTGCAATTTCGTCTTCAAGACAAATTTACGTGCCCTCGATTTCATTCTTGTGGGGTATGTAGAAAAACGTACTACTCTCCCTCAGAATTACACCTCAAAACTAATGCACTGAATAAACAAACTAACCCCAAAAGGTATAATTGCTAACCTTGGGTTTGGTTAGAAACACCTTTTCCAGTCAGACAAGTAATAGCATCATTCTGTGAAGGCGATAAAACACATATCGTCAATTTGTAAAACCGCGGTCAATTTTCAACCATTTTTTGCCACTGAAAGGATATTCTAGACATACGTGCTTGGTGATATGCCTATTTCCCCTTTAATTACCTTGTATTCTTTCACTTTTATACCTTCACTCTAGGTGGAAGACTTAAAAGAAGCCCTGTCACGAGAATTTTGCGAGGTTATTGTGTAAGGTCTGAGCGTAGGGACTAATTTGTCAAGAGTGCACCTCACACCACTCCCAAACAAAAGAGAAAAATATGAACAGGATAAGGTGTTTTTTTTAAATTTCATCTTACTTTTTGGAAATAACAGAATATAAATTGTAAACATCGCCTTGCTTCTTCTAACGGTTTCGGTGAACTTCATTTTTGCTTGTCCGGCTTCTGACATGGCGCTGGCATGGCATCTTTACCAAAAGCAGACCACTATAAGTGGCCATGGATTTCCGCAAATAAAAATACTTCTGTTGGAGTTGCGCATAAAAGCAACTTTCGTGGGCACTACTACCTTTTTAACTGCTGAAAAACGCTTCTCTTTACATAGGCAATCCTTGCTATAAATTCATATTTCTATGAGTGCCAAGCAATATTTTTATTTGTAATTTTGCATCATACCCGTATCTTATTTTAGTCACTTTATTTCATGAACACATACCAAACAACGAGTCTTCATGTCACATTCACCACATATGCTTTGGTCTGCGCTTTCATCTGCGCATGTACAGAAATTGACTGTTAGACTTCCAAATAAGACCGCCACGACGAGCTCTTTGAACAGTGTCATTTTCATTCAGCTCCCTTGCACAATGACCTGTTGAGAAACAAAACACAAAAATAGCTTGAAAACCATAATTTCTATTCAGTTTTCGTTGAGGAGGGTCTCTGCGGTTAACGTTCGAGATCGTTTTGACTACTATCACCTTAATTTAGCAAAGTAAAGTTAATTTACTAAGTAAAACAGGCAGGGCCGAGTGTTTTAAGGAATATTTATTTCTGAAAGAAATAAATGGTTTTATGCTTTAATCGGACTGATTAATGTGTCATTTCTCCAGCTACTGGGGAGGGGGCGTTCCTGCCATCCGGGACATTATATAGCCTTTATATATGTGTTTTTATGACATGAAAGCGAGGTACAAGGCCTCTCTGCTCACTGCAACTGGAATTTTCATTATTGGGTATCCCAGCAAACAGAGGTCACCCAAAGCGAGACTCCACCGGCAGCAATAACCGACTCAACAATACTATCAACAAAATCAGGAGTTTTCAGATGAAAAATTAATCAAAGCCATCCAGGACATGAGTTAATGGAAGAACCAGTTTAAAGTGACGTTGTTGTAGTATTTACCAAGCCAGTGATAAGTGCATGTTTTTCTCGTGCTCTGTTTACTTGGCTGCCACGTAGTTATCGTGTGATATTCACCTCCGAGAAAAAATGTAAAATAACCTTCTTTTTTTTTGTTTCTGTGTTATAAGTATATTTTTTTCACAACGACCTTCATTATACTTGATCCAAATTACAGCAGTACTAAATTTATGCTTTTAAAGAATGTTGAACAGCGAAGTCGGAGTGGCGTTGTTACAAGTACTATCTACTATGTACAACTCTTAAGTCTTCTATGAATCCTTGCAATGAAATTTTAATCCAGTTTTCTTTGTGCGGGATTGACCGTCTCGGGTGTCAAGCTTAAAAACTCTGAATCTTCACTCACCAAATTTCCCGCCCTTTTGTCGGTCGTGCGAAGTATCTGCTTAACTTAAGAAAAGACTTTTTTTCCCCAAAATAAAACTATAACTCTGGGCAAGCTATTTTACTAACCGGGTATATAATAGCACAATAATTCATCCCATTGTGGCTACAAGTGGGGGGAAATTTGGGATTGAAATTACAAAAATTGAGAAATTCGAATTAAGGTGTTTTCACTTTTGCACCTGTTTGGATCTCAGGTTTTTAAGCTTTTTCTTACAAAAATCACATGTTATGTTCACATAAGGACAAGAAGTATTATTATCACAATTTTATCAAACTCAAATTTAGTCGATATTTAGCGTACCTGTGTGTACCTCAGTGTTAGAAAATTGTCAGTTGTGTTCCTTAAAGCAACCAACTTCAAATGATCTGGTAAATATATCTGCAGAGGTTCGTATAGCAATAGCCTAGCAATAGCCTTATCTCATTATTCAAAATTAAATTCATTAAGTTAATGAATTTGTTTTTGACCTTAAGCTGTTCAAATTAAATCGCACGTCTAGGAAAACGATTTGCTTAATAATGTTTTCTCATCCCAGTATTTAGCATTTAGATCACGTTAAAGCTATGCAATGTTGAGGTTTCAAAATTTCAAATAAAATATAAAATTTCCATTCCTTCTAAAAAAAATTGCAAAGTTATGTTGCTGGTGCATAGATATACGCTGTTTATATAATAATGACACAGTTGCCTTTTAGCAGTACTTTACGTTGATAACGTCATGCTCGGAATTAGTATCACGTAGTTAAACTGATACTTAACTGAAGCTACGTGCTTCCACTGACAGCTAAACAATTTTCATTTATTTTATCTATTTTCATAAAGTTAAACTGATCTTTAACTGAAGCTACGTACTTCCACTGACAGCTGAACAATTTTTATGCAGAAAAAATCTTCTTTTGAATGCTATTGACATATGTTTTCGCCCAACATTAGTTTAAAAACTAAAGAGAATTTTTCTTTTTGTTTGAGAATTATGAAGAATGTTTCAGAGTAGAGATAGCCTTACAAGTGAGGTCTAGATCCTTCCGTTACAGAATTCCTTGTGAGTTAACCACCTTAATTTGTCTAACATTTCACTGCTAAAACTATTTATTTACTATGCCGTCTCAAAGGTTTAAAAATCCATATCACTAAATCGCCAAATAGAAGAGGCTATGTCCGTACAAGTCCGTTTAAGCTTGTGTAAGAGAAAACAAACTTTATATCAGTTGACGGCTGTCCCCAGAAGAGAGATGTTTCTCCGTTTACATTGTGACGCTGTATATTTTAGACAGTTTAGATTAGTTATGTTTTTAATATGAAATGTTTGTGATCCTGGTTTAATTTAACACTATTCGTTCCTCTCTTAACTTGTTTTTGCGCTGAAAACGATCCCACCTGGTAATCTTACCATTCAAAATTGACTAGAAAGATTAATTGGATGGCAGGTACATGTAGGGTATGAAGTACAGGGGCACCCAATGGATCTGTTCCTCAAAATATCTGTTCTTCATGCAAATTTTTGCTGGCTGGGAGATGTGAAAAAAATAATAGTCCTTGGAAGGAAAGTGTTGCTGGGAAAAAGATAATTCAGGGTGTCAGAGGGGATTTGAAGTCTAGAATAGCTGCTACGGGTTACTTGTATGGGTTGCTTACCACTCAAGATCTGAATTGTGCCCTAAGAAACTTCCCAGTAAGTCAGGTTGCAGGTTGTAAGGTTGCTGGCTGGGAACTCTTCCATCAGTCTTGCTGGGAGTGAGGAACAGATAATTTTTTTCCAGCAATCTCCCAAAATGCTTAAAATAGTCTCAGAAAACTTTATTCACGCTTTGTTGTTGTTTTTAGGTCTTTTTCTCAAAATTTCCCGTTGGGTGCCCCTGGAAGTATAAGCTGCGTAGCAGGTAGGCGCAGGAATGAAAGAGGCGTGCGAGAGAGACAAACAAAGATATCAGACAAACAAAGCGTGCCAAAGCGTTGTACATTTACATCCTCTGTCTATCTGTTGTAAGGACCCGCTAGGTTATCTGATTATAGAGCGATGGAGCAATAAACTGACAATAAACACACAGAATTAAATCGTTTTTAGCCAAAGGCGCAATAAATACAAAAAAACAGAGTCAAAAATGGATATTGTTTAAAGAATGCATGCTGGGTGGATAAATATTGTTCTCTAAGATTACAAAATCACAACTGTACATGCACCAAAGATCACACTTTAAGTGGAAAATGGCCATTTCTTTTTCTGCGCAAAGTGGCAGCCGTTTTCCGAGCAGACATGTCTTACCAAACGGACTTAAACTTCTTAACACAATAGGCCATTTGCACGATGGCGTCATTTTACTACAACCTTTTGCTGTTCATTACGAGAAAATACGCATTCATTTGCGTGAAAAGGCGACCAACAGCGCGAAGATACATTCATTAGCGCGAAAAAGCGAACATTTGCGCGTAAATCAGATTCAATAATGATTTTTGCATTTTAATCAACATTCAATAACATTTTTGAGCATTCATTTGCGTCATTCGACATACAAAAGAGAAAAATTTACTTTCATTAACGCCAACATTCGAGTCATTAACATTATCTTGAAAATCATTAAGGACAATAGACAAACATCTAAGTACAAACGCTATTCATTAACATTTTTATGACACTGTTTGCAATTCAATAGCATTCCTGGACAGCTTTAGAACGGATGAGACAGACATTAATGCGCTTGTACAATCAATTGAGCGTTCTTTACATTTAATATACAAAAATATATTTTCAATTAAACAATACCAATTCCCCTCCAAAATTGGCCTGAATTTGTTTAAAGAATCACGCCGTACTTCGCCACTGTGTGTTCGTCGACGGCTGCGGCTATACATTTACCCTAGACGGCCAGAAGTCATGGTGGGGCGCGACAGGGAGTGGAGGGCGTACTGCCAAGTGTGCGGCCAACGAGGACGAAACTTGACTATGACCATGGCAATACATGTATTAAGTACCTATCAAATGTTTTTCTCGGGAGCTGCTGGAGTAATGAATACTGTGTCGGTTTTTCGGTGACTTTCTACAACGGGCGAGGAAAAAATGGATCCCGATAAGTCGGCGGTCTTTGCGTATGACGGGGTGCCTGGCAGCCACCTAGATTTGGCCGTTCCCGCTCTATACGTACACAGCTTATGCTTCCCCCCTCGACATCAAACCTACCTCCTAAAATGTTTAAATAGCGAGGTTTTTAAGGGATATACATTCAACGGACTGAAATTGAGACCAAAAAAATTGTTTGAATTTCTATTGTTTAATTGAAAATCGATTTTTGTATATTAAATGTAAAGAACACTCAATTGATTGTACAAGCACATTAATGTTTGTCCTATCTATCCTAAGGTTGTCCAGGAATGCTATTGAATTGCAAACAGTGTCGTAAAAATGTTAATGAATAGTGTTTGCACTTTAATGTATGTCCGTTGTCCCTATTGACTATCAAGATGGTATTAATGACTTTGATGTTGGCCTCAATGAAAGTATATTTCTCTCTTTTGTATGCCCAATGACGCATATGAATGCCCAAAAGTTTTATTGAATGTTGATTAAAATGCAAAAATCGTAATTGAATCTGATTTATGCGCAAATGTTCGTATTTTCGCGCTAATGAATGTTTCTTCGCTTTATTGGTCGCCGTTTCACGCAAAAGACTGCGTATTTTCTCGTAATGAACAGCAAAAGGTGTTCAGGGTATTGCTTTCTTGTGCAAATTAGGGCTTTTCTTATTTAAACCTCACTGGGACTACAAATTTAAATATGAAAGGAAAAACTAAATGAATTCTGGTCTTAGTAGTAAAAAGACGTCATCGTGAAAATGGCCCATTAAAACTGTACCGAGATTAGGCGTAAGGTCGCCTTCGAGCAATTAATGATAACAATAGCGAAAGGTTTTTCATATTCATGCTCCTTGTAAGTGTTTAGTTTTATCAATACTGTCCAGGTTTTAATGGTATGCGTCCCATTCACAATGCATGCCGCCAAGTTCTTTTTGAACAAAGAATATTTCCTCTGACATTCATTTCAAAGATTCGAGAAATCTTTTGTCTGTTTTTGTCTGTCGTCGATTCTACTAATGCGTATTTGACGTCAAATCGTTCCTTTGTAAGTACCGTTTGAACCCTCCAACTTTTCTTTTAGATTTCAGCCACATAGTCTCATTGAACTGAACTCTAAGATCTGAACTTCGATTATACCATTTAGTGGTGTAATATGAGACCTTCACTGCTTTGTTTGCCATGCACTCCTTGCTCTTTCTTTGATCGATTGACAGTTTTCTCGCCTCACGTGAACACTTGTCCTCTCGGGAGTCTCTTAACCAACAGGAATTTTCTGCACTCTCAGAAAGCGAGTAAAAACGATTTTCATGGGCCTCTCGGTGGAGGCGCTCCCTCTCTCCTCGCGAGTCTCACACGCTTGCCCCGTTCTTTCTTGCGCCCTTTACTTCTAAGCGCCTGCCACGCGGACTAAGTATTTTAAAAGTAAACATTCTACCTGTCAAAAGCATTTACTCTTTGTAAACTACAACTAAGACTATCAGACCTTCTGTCCTATTCAGCTCCAGCAGTTTTTCTGTAAAGTTGGCGGAAAGAATGGTGGAACTTTTAGAATATGCTATTCATTTTCCTGTAGGTATTAAAAAAGTATAAGATATCGGCATTTCTTTAAACCGCGTTTTTATAAAAAATGAAAATATCTTGGAAATCCTGCGAAAGATTTTTCCTTAACTTTAGCAAATAAGCCACAGAGCTCTCACGTTTTATATCTGCAAGTTTGAAATCAATCGTGAACATGCGACTCGATGCAAAATTTGGGATTTTTCCAAAGGAATTAGTCCGTGGTTTTGGTTGAAAATTTGAAGTTTTTCCATCTTCTTTGGCGCAAACTGCGCCAGGAAAATGTGTTTGCCGATATTCTAAAAACAAAAAAATCCCTCTTAGATTATGAAAACAAGAATTTAAGAAAGGTAAAAAAAATTGCGATTTTTCCAAAGGGGTTGGTCCTTGGTTTCGGTAAAAAACCTGAAATTTCTCCTTGTTTTTATTTTAGTCAAAATAGGCCAGAAAATGTGATTGACGATATTATAGAAAGGAAAAAACCTTTTTAGAGTTTGAAAACAAGAAATTAAAAAAGTAAAAAAAAAAAAAGAAAATGCCATTTTTCCAAGGGGGCTAGTCCATCGATCTGGTGAAAGATTTGAAAATTTTCCCTGTTTTCATTTTAGCGTTTTTACACTATGGAAACAAGAAGTTAAAAAAGTAAAAAAATGGGGATTTTTCCAAGGGGGTTAGTTCATCGATTTGGTGAAAAATTTGAAAATTTTCCCTGTTTTTGTTTTGTTCAAAATAGACCAGAAAAATGTGTTTAAACATAATCTAGAAAGGAAAAAGCACTTTTAGACTATTAAAACAAGAA